AGTCAGAAAGATATTGGTGTTGACGATTGTCGCAAAACCGGACAAAATCTCTATTTAAATTACACACGTTAAACCCCAATTAACATCTAGTCACTCGCCAACACCAACCAACTATTCACGTAAAACCTCCGAGTGCAACCTCGATGTTCGAGCACAGGCGCAGGCACGAAACATCAAGCCTGAGTTCATTTACGCTGCGCTCATCCCCAGGTGTTGTTCATTTCTCTCAAGTTCGATGTGCGTGTGTAAACATGAGCCTGAGAGAGAACACGCGCTCTAAATGAACTTGTACTTCTGAAATTTGAACTCATCTAATGAAGACTGATCTAACTTAGCAATCGCAATTGCATGGTTCAGTTTATCGAATGCAACCGACAAGTCGGTGTAAATTACGTCTGTTTGAGCCCGTTCTGTCATGCTTTCTGTGACATACGATGTCAGACAAAGTAGATTAGTGGTAGTAAGGCTTGTACTCGAAAAAAATGCACCATTTTTATCCGTGTGTAACTTTTTTATCCGTGGGTAAAAATTGATGAAAATCTGCGTATAACTAGTTTGGAGTGAACTGGTTACATGTGCAAAATTTCATAACAATCGGTTCATTGGTTATTGAGATGTCATCGAAACAAGAAGAAAATCGCCGGAGAATTTTGCGCGCCGTCATGGAAAATCCGACTGCGACCATGAGATGGATCGGAAGACAACTGGGAATCACCCATACAACTGTGTCTCGGGTAGTAAAATCGTTTAAGGAGTCCTAGACGACCGAGCGGTAGGCTGGAAGTGGAAGAAAATCGAAGACAGCTGACCCTGTGAAGGCCCGGAAGGTGTTGAATTATTTCAAGCGTAATCCGAACCTTACGATTCGCGACGTGGCTCTGAAGGCAAAGTGTTCCGCCTGGTTCATTCAGCAAACCATGAAACGAGCTGAGCTTCGTGTATTCAAGGTCCGAAAGGCACCGAACCGGCGTGATCAACAAAACACGGCGGCCAAATCCCGCGCAAGGAAGCTGTATCGAGAGTGGTTAACAAAACCGATGTGTGTGGTTATGGATGACGAAACCTACATCAAGGCAGACGCAAAGCAGATACCGGGGCTGGAGTTCTACGTTCCCAAATCACGGTTTGATGTTCCGGAAGACATAAGGAAGAAGAAAGTGGACACATTCGCCAAAAAATACTTGCTCTGGCAGGCCATATGCCAATGCGGTAAACTGAGTAAACCGTACATCACAATGGGTATCATCAACAGCGAAATTTACCGCATCGAGTGTCTCCAGAAGCGTCTGTTGCCCTTCCTGCGGTTCCACGGAGGCGAAACATTATTTTGGCCAGACCTGGCATCAAGCCATTACGCGCGATCGACGTTGGATTGGTACAGAGACAATAACGTTGTTTTTGTACCAAAAACCGCCAACCCCCCAAATTCACCAGAGATTCGTTCGGTGGAAATATTTTGGGCAATAATAAAGGCCAAAGTTCGAAAATCGTCGAAGGTGTTTAAAAACGAGCTGGAGTTGAAGAAAGAATGGATGAAAGTGACCAAAAAGGTCGGCTCCACCATTGCACAAAATGTAATGAGGGGTCTTAAGGGAAAGGTGCGGGTTTTCAGCGATGAAAAGGAAATTGAATAAAGTACATTCAAAGTGTTTTTTATGTTACTTCATACGCGAAGTTAACGATTTTCAGAGTTGGTTGGAAATGCTAACATGAAGCTTTAGTGTGATGATTTATTAGCTAGAGAATGATCTTTAGAAGAATGTAGGTGGATAGTTCCGTTAGAGTACGGCAGTATGAAAATTGAATAGAAGTTGAAAATGAGCGAAGGGCCATTAAAGCGACAGTTTTCAAGATGACGCACATTTTTGCCTAGCCCGTACGATGTACGGGCCCTACTGCTTTCTCTCTGAGATGATCACGTTGGTCATGACGAGAGGAGCAACACAATAGTTGGGTAAAGAAGAACTGCATTATAACACACCATCGACTGGAAATGCTCTCGCGACGTGGGGCTTTAGGTAGTGATGAAAACATCGCTAGAACTATTCCACAGCCGCAGTCAGTTTATGAGCAACAAGAGGGACGCACATTTTTGCCTGTGGACTTGGAGACATACTTCAAGTCCCCGCGTACATCGTACGGGCTAGGCAAAAATGTGCGTCATCTTGAAAACTGTCGCTTTAATGGCCCTTCGCTCATTTTCAACTTCTATTCAATTTTCATACTGCCGTACTCTAACGGAACTATCCACCTACATTCTTCTAAAGATCATTCTCTAGCTAATAAATCATCACACTAAAGCTTCATGTTAGCATTTCCAACCAACTCTGAATAAAGTAATTATGCCGAAACATAATCCATACGTATTAGTTCATTCCCTAAAAGTTTCAAGAAAATCCGACTTAAAATAAATTTTTGGCGAACACTTTTGTCTGGTGCATTTTTTTTCGAGTACAGGCCTTAGAACGACCGGAAACGAAGCCGTGTTGATTACTACTTAGATACTGTTTACAATGAGAGAGGAGGGGCTCCATGATGAATAACTCGAATAACTTCGAAACTGAGCTCAACGATGTGATTCCACGGTAATTATCCACGTCCCGTTTGTTTCCCTTTTTGTGAACAGGAAAAATATGTGCAAATTTCCAACAAGATGGAAATATACCACTCGAGATGGACATGCGGAATAGATGCTGCAACAGTGTCAGCAAGCTGGCGATATGCTTCTTCAGAAATACTGATGGGACACCTTAAGTTGTTGTGCGGCAGTGGAAATCATCTCGACGCCGATGTCAATTGCACCCAACGCTTGACCGGAGAGTGGTACAAAAATGCATTGAACTATTTTCCCTAAGACTACACAACTGGTCTGGGTGTTTTTTTTATTATTCGAAAAAAAAAATTAAATTTTACACAAGTTTACAAGAGTTTATGATTAATGAACGAAAAAAAAGGGAGTGGTTAATTTTCCCGGCAAATTTTAGTTAAAGTCTACGAATTTTCCCGGACCTCACGGTTATGTGGAACATAATTTTATAATCATCAACATTGCTCTAAGAACACTAAATAAAAGGCAGTTGATGCCTGCCTGATGATTCCAAAGATTTAAACACCTTGCAAGATAATATTGAAGCAATTTGCGTGGTAGTTTTAGAAGAATTCATTTATATAATTACAGCATCATCATCGTCAATTCCTATGCAAATACCACTAATTGCACCGTCTACGAAAGTGACTCGCTCCGAAACTGTTACATTTTGCACGTGATCCATCAGCGATCACAGCTGCTAGGGCTAAACCAGAATGGTGATTCACTTTCATTCAGCGTGTGCAGTTCGTTTGGTTTAGACATCGTAGACAAATAGTGTGACGATAATCTTAGATTGTAGCTATAATTAGATGGATCGGTTCCCACGGTTTTGAGACGAATTTCCTTGATTTCATAACAATAGCCAATTTATGTCGAATGGAATCCGTCGGTATGGACCAACAATTTGCTCAGGATCTGTCATCCTTGAATGCTTGCGATTGTCCTAACCAATTATTTACCTAACGGAATTTTATGACCACCAGCGATGTGCCTCCCATTTCTGCGACACAATTGAAAGAAGGTCATAAAATAGGCAAACGTTATGTGACATATCGCACAAATGTCACATTATGCAGATGAATCCACGTGGTGATCACAAAACACGTAATATAGGTAAGGGTTGACAATGCGGAGAGCAGACAGCGTCGTGCGCCTCTGGTCAGAAAGAATCGCATTGTTTCGGTTTTGTGACTGGCTACCAATTTGAAGGAGTAGATATCGTGGTTTGCATGCCTAACCGTGTGAAGGTAGTAGGTAGGTAAGCAGCAGAAAGCATGTGACTTTGACTCATACCGAGTGGTATGAGTACTTATGAATGGCAGTTTAATTTTCATCAACCTGCTAAGTACGTGAATGCTTCTATTCTTAGCGCGTTGAAGTCTCTCCGGTGTGTTTTGCCGGACGAGGGGTCCGTCAAGTGCAATAATTTGATAGGGACTTCAATAGTTGCCTCGTGCTTAACGGTAAACTTATTAAGCTTAATGAATTTTTAATTTTCATCTTCTAGCCCCTCGCTTGGGAAAACCATCCATCCCCTTCGACAATCAACGAATACCAACCGGCGTGGTCTTTCTAGTGGCAGGCCATTTTGCCGAGGGAAAAACCGCGTCGTTCAAACACTTTCAATTGTAATTGTGATATGTTTTGATAAACGTAAGAAAAACATGTAACTTGTTGTTACTTGCACTTTGGGCTGCCCATTGCGGTTCCTTCCTACTAACCATATTTTGAGAGAGCCCCGGGTGTGTAAGTGAACTTGACTGCTGTGACTACGCTGGACGGATTCGTTGTTATATCTCTCTCTCTCTTACTCGCTGACACCGGGGTTAATTTGAATGTTTTTAACGCGGCCGGTGGCTCGGTGGACAGAGCGTTTTTGTTCCCGGGCCTAATCAACAACAACGGTTCACACATGTGCTGTAGGTTGTAGGTACGTCAAGTACCCGCATCTCTTTCTCTCTTTGCTGCTTCAGCAGTAGGTTAGAAGTTTTACATATGTGTATTATCTGTCTGCTGTACGATATGAGTTGATGATTGTTGGAAGCTAGGTAGAGTGTCTTAGTCACCAGGCAGCTAGCCCCCCCTGAGGCCGGAACCGATTCCCAGTTTACCTCGGAAGCTCGTCGCGAACGGTTACGAAAGTTTTGCGCCAAGATCCCGCGGGTTGATTGTTAAGTGAATTGTGAGAGCTTGGGTGCGGTATACAGAATGGACTAGGGATTGTCAAATTTGGAAGAATTCTAAGCGCATTGTTAAGTAAATTTAGTGAGGTGAAGAGAATTACTCTTGATGTGAAATAATTGTCGAAACAGTTTAACAGTGATATAGTGGAATAAGTGTTGGATAGATTAAACGTATGTTTTCGAATTGGAATTATGACTCATAGAATTCATCAGTTAAAGTCTCAACAGTCTCGAATAGTTTTACCTGCCCATGATAAGTGCGGTGCCTTCGCCTCCGGACATTTCGAACACTAACAGATTCAAATATATTAAATTTGTTAGACGATTAGAGGAACAAAGAGGTGAACAAATACCACGCTCCATAGCTCAGTTTGCATATTGAGAAGACGACTTTCTCCCCAAAATGCGGTGTTTTGGAGATGATAATTGAACTTGAAGGATGTCAAGTTCAAGTGTTTTCAGGGAGAGTGGACCTGCTTTGAACCTACACACTAAGATTATTTTACAGATTTCTGTAAAATTTTACCGAAATCTCAACAGCTGAACGTTCGGTAAACAATGTTACAGTTTTGCTGTAATTATTTACAGATATCTGTGAAAAATTCACAGATATTTGTGAAAAATTACAGGTAATCTGCGAAACTGTTTACCGAACGTTCAGCTGTTGAGATTTCGGTAAAATTTTACAGATTTCTGTAAAAATTCCTAAGTGTGTACCTATGGATTATCGACTAAGCAATATGACCGCCATCTGTCTTAATCTTCTTCTTGATTCCTTTATTTAACGTCGGTCTCTGTTTCTCAGTCGACGGACATCGATTGCCATCTATTGACGGCTTCCACACCTGGGTAGATATCGCACCCATCACCACATGGGCTGGGACCAACGACTTTACTTTCCTTCCGAAGGAAGACGTGGCCAGTGATTTTTTTTTTGCCTCAGAAAAATCCCAACGACCTCGGCTGGGATTGAACCCAGACCGAGATGGATGGATTGGAACGGCTAGAAGCCATACACCCTGGGGTGAGAAAGCAGTCACGCTTACCACTACACCATCGGCGCCCTAGGAGCTTCATTAAAGGTGACACACAAGGAAGAAGTGTTAGTTTGTTTACTAAAATGAACTATGCCCATTTTGTTATGGCAATTTTTACTATAAAAAATGCTACTCGTGTTTATTAGCGAAATTCACATCAAAGGTTGATTAATTGCGTAGGAAATCAGTTTGGCACGGCATTTGTGACCAGCATACACCTTTCAGTCGTATAAAACAGGTCAAAAACTGAGCAAATCCGCCCATACAATTTTTTGTTTTGAATTTCTGTATGGCAAAATAATGAACTTTTCGTGAACATTAACGGCAAAGAACTCACCAACATTGGGAGACCGTGAGCTCCTGCCCACCTGTCATAAAACCATCTCGATCGGCGCCGTCAGTCATCCACCTTTACATTCACTGCCTCATGAGAATCTGAATGATTGGGAAGTAAACATGTCACTCAGTCACTCATTCGGTAGCTCAATCAGCACATTTATTCTTCAGTGTTGCTATCCACTCTTTATTTTTATTGACTGAACATAGATTCTTTATAAGCGTCTAAATTTTTTTTTTCTTGATTTGTTTTCCGTCGATCTTGTTTTTCCGTACTGAGTACCAGTGCTACCAAAGCAGCTCCCACACCGGGACTCTACCTATCGGCCCGTCAACTCATGGACTGGGGAACAACGGGTTTGATAAGAGATTTTGTGTCTCAGAAAATCCCGACGGTGCCAACTGGGATTGAACCCAGGCTCTTTGGAGTGCGAGACAGTTACGCTTACTCGAAGTCTACCTATTTGAACCACTTTCATCAAACATAAAAAAAAACTTAAATATTTAATGTAATACGTCGTGCACATGAGTTCTTATCCACCGTAGAATCCTCAAAAAAATATAATAAAAGCTTCTGCTCTGATGTCAATTTTATCAAATATACCGTTTTCAAGTTAAGATTTTTTGAAAGTATAAAACCCACTTTTTACATACGCTCTAATAAAAATTTAGTCTCGAAAAATTGCAATTTTTAAAAAGAAAATTCCACCCAATCAATTTCGTTGAAAATATATATTTAATTTATAATAGCTATAAAATGAAAATGTCGTTAATGCAAATATGAGTGTTAAGAAAAAACGGCTCAAGGCTGGATCGAACTAGATCATATCAAATTCTGGGAATGACGTTAGACACATAGACGTTTGGCGTAAAAACGTTTTGTCGAATGAACGTTTGGTCGAAAATTATATTGACACATGTTTGTTATTCTGGTTTCTCGGTTATTTCTGAGATTTCTCGGAACTCGTCGAGAGCTTCCAGACGAAGTGATTTTTCAAGATTTTCAACACTTAAATATGTTTTCCAGACAAGTTAGACTTGGAAAAAGTGTTGAGGAAAAAGTGAAATATTTAAGAGTTCGTATGATTTGCAGTATTCTTGGAATAGATAAATATGATATGATATGACCCTGAGCTTTGGAAGATTCAGGTTGGTAATAGTTAAAATTTTGTTAATTTTTCCCAGAAAGAAATTATTTTTCTCTACTACTTTGTTTCAGACTTCATTGCGATCGGAAATGCCATTTCCGAGCTATAAATTTGTGAAAAGTTTCAAGGACGCCATTTTGAAAATTTGAGCAGATCCAAAATGGCTCCATTTAAGCAAAAATGAGAATGATTACCCATAACAAAAAATTACGCAAAGTTTCATACAAAGTAGAGCAGCTGCTCTATGGGTATTAGGGAGGTTCAAAATATCCATTCTGCTCCATCAGGCTCAATCAATTATAAATCAGGTCCTGACCCGAAATTTGAGTTTATTTGGATGCGAACTCATATTGAGAGGTCCAAGTTTTATTTTCTTTATTAAAGAGGCTTTCAGCCAGAGGCTGGTTCACTTCTTTAAAAAAGAACCAAGTTTGCATGGGAATTACTATGGGGAAAGTGAACATTATGTTCTCAACGTTCTAGCACATTACCATAATGATTTACGGAAAAGCTATATATCTGCTCTTGTGTGAAATATTTTTATTAGGATTCAAGGTAATTAGATATTAATTGACTTCGACGCCGATAAGTCTGATATGATTAATTGACTGTTTTCAGGGCTTCTTGCAAAATGACATAGTAGGCTGCATTTTTCAACCTATTCGAAGAACGATACAAGTACAAGTACATCAATTTTGCCTGCTGAGTAATTGATGGAGCATGTCAAAAAACACCTTCTTCGTAATCAATTAACGACTAATTACGCTGGAGTACAAAATGTGGTCTTGGCAAGGGGTAATTAACTCTGCAAACTGTGCCGAAACATATCGTGGCACACTCATCGGCACGTCATGTCACACGATGACAAGTATGCCACAAAATATAATTTAATACGGCATCACTGTGTTGATATTTTGCCACTCGTTGCTAAGGTTTACTTCTTTGATTACTTCAAAGTAAGCGGGAAAGGGAATTTTTTGTCGGTTCCAATTTTCCGGCGAAATTGTCCCCAATTATTGACGAGACTCTCTTTGCCTTAATGCCTTCTTGGAGATGAACCTCTACAAAAGTCCACATGGCTTTTGAGAGATGTCCATAGTTTCAAGGAAGTTCAAACTCCGGACCGAGAGTCAATCGCAGCTGTTTCTCCCACAGAATCACTCGGTACGATTGATGGTTCACCAATAAGTCATATGGACTAAACTCGGATTCAATTGAATGTGGAGGCTGGTGGAGTCAGTGGATCCCGTATTACCAGTTTGCAGCATCTCTACGCTCTTTCGCAACTGACTAGCACTGACGGCAATAGCAATATTAAGGAAGATACTGCTAACACGATTGTGAAGGTAACCACACCGGAAGTATCGAGATCCTGGGTCGAAATTTGGGTAATGTTGAAAATTATTCCATAGAATTTGAGAATATTGAGAAAGAAGTGGGGCCCAATGGTTTCTGGGTAGCCTGTTTATTTATTAAGTTTCAATTTACTTTGATGCATTTTTAAAAAATTCAAAAGCAGTTTTTTTCGACGCATTATTTTAGATCGAAAAAAAACTCGCGTCATTATGTGTAAAATATCAAAAGGAATCGAATAGTTCGAGCTTTTTGCAATCTGAAATAATGCGTCGGAAAAAACTGCTTTTGAAATTTTCCTAAAAGCATCAAAGTAAATTGAATCTTAAGGTATTCACATGTTCTGAACCATGGACGAAGTAGTTTGACCTCCCCCCATTAAAAAGGGGAGGCCAGTTAGACGGATTTAGTACCTAACCACTACTGCTGACATTGGAAAGCTACTGCTGGTCTAGCATTGCCCAAGTAGCATGATGATAATGCAGACAAGATGCATCTTCCACTGAACTGTATTCTATGATGATGATTCTTCTGGATGGACAACTATCAGTGACTCTTGGATGGACAGCTATCAGTGACCCTTCTCCTACTCGCGGAGGGGCTAAACATCGAGTACCACTTCCTTGAAGCGGATGACCGGTAACAAGCTCGTTGTATATTATCTTAGAATTGAGTTTCACAACTTTTTCCGTCCTTGACTTGATTACATTTTCACACACAATATCAAAAGTAATAAGTGCAGGGTTGCCAAGCTCATGGATTACTGAGACTGATACCTTGACTGCCACAGTTCGGCACGTTCGGCACAACGCTTGACCTAGCTTTCGGCACAGATAAAGTACTCGACACAGATTGGGATGTGCAGAGTTGAACACCCTTGGGCCTTGAGCAAAGTTGTAGCTGGGAATATTATACATTTGTACATACATGGAGTGATGAGTTTGCCTCATGTTTTCCAGGTTTGTCCAGGAAGAACTTCACGAATTTGAGAAATGTAAAGATTGGATTCACTCAGTCTATTGGTTCTACTCCTAGACTGAGTAAAATGTTTGAATATTTTCCTCATTTTCCGGCAGATTTTTTAGGTTTTCCACAGGAAACCATGGGGCAAATTTACTCATCGCTGAGTTCTTGCACTTTTGGCGATTATTAGTGAACTAAACTCAAATTTGGGTCGTTCTCATTCGCTGTGTACAGCAAACTTTTCCGGTTTTCCATTACGGTTAAGGGCTAGAACGATGCGAACAAAAAGTTCACCTTTCCCATAGTAATTCCCATATAAACTTCGGAGGACCAGTGTAGCATGAGTTCGCACCCAAATGAGCTCAAATTGTGGGAGAGTTACCAGCACCTGATTTGATTCGATCTCATTCATTCGATTGA